AAAAAAAAAAAAAAAAAAAAAATGTTTAAGGGGTCGGGCACAGCGGCTCACACCTATAATCCCAGTACTGTGGGAGGTCGAGGTGGGCAAAAATCGCTTGAGTCCAGGAGTTTGAGACCAGACTGGGCAACAGAGCAAGACCCCATCTCTAAAAAAAAAAAAAAGATCTTTTAAAAAAGTTAGCTGGGCAGGGTGGTGGATGCCTGTAGCCCAGGCGGATCCCTGGGAAGGGAAGATCACTTGAGCCCAGGAGTTTGAGGCTGCAGACAGCTAAGACTGTGCCACTGCACTCCAGTCTGGGCAACACAGCAAGACCCCGTCGCCACAAAAATAAAATTCACAAATCTGCAGAACTCAGAGGTTGCGCACTCTCACCTATCTCCTGGCTCCTCCTCTCCAGCTCCAGCTCTGCAATCTCACTCAGCAGGGTGATGCCGTGCAGGAAGCTCTGCTCCAAGACAAGGCTCTCGGCTGCTTCCAGCTTCTCCAAGGCCTGGGCTCCAGCAGCACCCGGGGAGGGCAGAGGCCTGGCCTGGGGCAGCTCCGCAGCCGCCGCCAGGGCGTTCATGCCAGCCAGTGGGTCCTCTAGACTGGGCAGGAACTGGTCAGAGCTTGCCTCTTCCAGGTAGCAGGTGCTACCAGGCACAGGCACGGCCTCTTGGGGCTCCAGGCTCGGGCACTGTCCCTCCCCGGTGGGCACGTCACAGTCTGACATTTCTAGGGTGGGCTGGGACTCGCTTGGTGCCACTTGCGCCAGGCCTTCCTCGGGCACTGCCTCCACCACGGGCACCGCCACAGGCACCTCCACCGGCTCCTCCTTGGCCTCCACCAGTGTCTCGGGTGTCAGCTGCACCCCCAGGTCCAGGGCGGCAGTGCAGGGTTCTGTCCGGCCTGGGGAATCCACCCGTGGTTCAGGCCCCTCCACAAAGTCTGGGCACTCGGAGGGCTCTGCGCAGCTCTGCCCAGTGGCACTCAGCGCCTGGGCCTCCAACAGGCCACCTCCACAACCCCCTGTAGGGCTGGGGGTAGCCATGGCTTCCGCGGCGGGCAGTGGCAGTGGCGACTCCAGAGGCGGCAGTTCTGTGGGGCCCTCGTCCATGTCCTCCACCTCTGCCTTCACCTCCCGCTCAGCCAGCGGTTCTTCCTCCGGGCCCTCCCGCAGCGGCTCTGTGATCTTGGAGGGCGACAAGCGGATGGGCTTGTCTTCAGGTGAGAGTGCCAGGCGCTCGGGCCCATCAGCCGGGAGCGGCACGTCGGGGGCCAGGCCATCCGCGTCGGCGGCTGCCGTGGGCTGCAGCAGGAAAGGGTAGGGCCTCCCGTAGTGTGGTGGCAGGGCTTGGAACGGGTACCTGGGCGGGATATCTGCCAAGAACACAGGGGTCAGCATGGGTGCCCTAGGATCTCATATCCCATGTCCCCATTGACACCGCCCACCACCCCAGAGACGCGGGACACAGCTGCCCTCTGCTCACCCAGCTGCAGAGCTGGGAGCTGTTCTAGGTGGGATCTCAGAGACCCCAGGGCCATGCAGCGGCCCCACAGTGAAAAATCAGCCACCTTCCTGTCCCCAGGGTCTTGTGGTCTTGGAGGCAGAGAACCACAGTTGTTTCTCTCGTCCCTTTCCCACTCCACACCCAGCACAAGGCTAGAGCAGAAGCAAACACTTCATGAGGTCTGCAAAGGCCTACAACTGCCTTTACCCACCTTGTGTGGTCTGGCCTCCACTCCCCACGAACCTGCTGCTCCACCCCATTAAAGCAGTTGTTCAAAACGTAACAGCAAGGCCAGGTGTGGTGGGCCACGCCTGTAATCCCAGCACTTTAGGAGGCTAAAGTGGGATGATTGCTTGAGATCAGAAGTTCAAGACCAGTCTGGGCAAAAGTGAGACCCTATTTCTTTCTTTTTTTTTTTTTTTTGAGATGGAATTTCACTCTTGTCGCCCA